GGGCGTGTGTGTGGGCGTGTGTGTGGGCGTGTGTGTGGGCGTGTGGGTGGGCGTGTGTGTGGGCGTGTGGGTGGGCGTGTGGGTGTGTGTGTGTGTGTGGGTGTGTGCGTGTGTGTGAGAGAGTTGTGTGTGTGAGAGAGAGTTGTGTGTGAGAGAGAGTTGTGTGTCAGGAAGTTGTGCGTGAGTAAGTTGTGTGTAAGAGAGTCGTATGTGAGAAATTGTGTGTGTGTGAGGAAGTTGTGTGTGAAGGAGTTGTTATGAGTAAGTTGTGTGTGAGAGTTGTGTGTGTGAGAGAGTTGTGTGTGTGAGAGAGTTGTGTGTGAGGAAGTTGCGTGTGAGTAAGTTGTGTGTGTGTGAGTAAGTTATGTGTGTGTGAGTAAGTTATGTGTGTGAGAGAGTTGTGTGTGTGAGTAAGTTGTGTGTGTGAGTAAGTTGTGTGTGTGAGTACGTTGTGTGTGTGGGGGAAAGAGAGAGTTATGACGCCAGGCGGCGGCGGACGGCGACGGACGGGAGCGGACAGAAGCGGACCGGAGCGGATGGGAGCACACAACAGAAAACAAGAACCCCACACAAAGATGTGGGGAAAAAACAGGTTTTCACTGCTTCACTGCTTCACTTTTCGATCATTTTGTGTGCCGAGTTTCTTCACAAACTCTGTCAATGTTGAGGAGGAGGAAGACGATCCGTTGTTCTCATTACCATTTCCGCTCTGCACCGACATTGATCCCGGGTGTCACCAGGGAGGCAGTGCTGCGACAAGAAACATGGTTTTCCTTTCTGAGCCGAAAGTCTGAGAGCGAACACCGTTACGACCCGTTACGATCGTAAAATAAAGGGAAATATATATTGAAAAAAAAATAACGGAAACGTGTCCAATTGAAATTCACGATGTTTCTACCGGTTTGGCAAACTCCAATTCTTGGACGTCCTTGCAAGCCTGCATCTGCACTGAACCGGGCCTTGATCTCAAGGGAGGGCTTCGTTTTTGATTTCTTTGCAAACCTGGTTGAGCCAAACTGATCCGCACGCAGGGGGTCTTGAAAAAATCAGCTGCGGTGGTATCTACAACAGCCGCACCGTTTATTTTTATAAAAATTTTCTCTGCAACCTTCTCCGGAACCTTCTCCGGAACCCTCTTGAACCTGACCTGGCTCTCCGGAACCTTCTCCGGAACCCTGTTGAACTTGACTTGGCTCTGCACCAAAGCCTCCCACACCTTCTCTGGGAACCTTCTTTGGAACCCTGTTGAACCTGTCTGCACCAAAACCTCCGAGACCTTCTCCGGAAACTTCCCTGGAACCCTGTTGAACCTGGCTTCTCCGGAACCTTCTCCGGAACCCTGTTGAACCTGACCTGGCTCTGCACCAAAGCCTCCCACACCTCCTCCAGAACCTTCGGGTCCTTCTCCGGAACCTTCTCCAGACTGGCTCTGCGCCAAAGCTCTGCACCAAAGCCTCCCAGACCTTCTCCGGAACCTTCGGAACCTTCTCTCAAACCTCGTTGAACCTGACCCAGCGCCTGCACCAGTGCACGCCGGAGCTTTTCTAGGCTCAAGACCCCATTAGCTTGCGCTGTTGGGAAAAAACTCGTAATCAGAAGCTTCCCATTTGCTGGGACGTTGTCTTTCGGAATGCCTTGGGTCGGAAAATGATGAACACTGCTATCCCCTTGTGAACCTGGCCACTACCTGAAACTCTGCTGTGTTAGACCACAATGCTCCACGCCTGATGGTTGAAATAGACCTTGAGCCACTCGACGTTGCAGTCGCTCATCTTCACCTCGGAGTTCGTGGAGTTGTCCTGCAGAAATCGGTGCTAAAAGCCTAATTCAAGGCGTCCAGAAATGGAGGTTTGGGGATGTAATCGGGGTAGAATGAAGATATCTATCTATCTATCTATCTATCTATCTATCTGTCTATCTATCTATCTATCTATCTATCTATCTATATATATATATCACCCAAGACGACAAAATAATCTGCCGACCCCGGCCGACGCAAGGGGGAGCGTGCCCAGGAAAAGGAGTGCTATACTACAACAACAACAACAACAACAACAACAACAACAACAACAACAACAACAACACAAACAAACAAACAAACAAACCAACCAACCAACAAACAAACAAACAAACAAACAAACACACACACACACAAACAAACAAACAAACACACACACAAACAAACAAACAAACAAACAAACAAACAAACAAACAACAAACAACAACAAACAACAACAAACAACAACAACCAACAACAAACAACAACCAACAACCAACAACCAACAACAACAACAACCACAACCAACAACAACAACAACAACCACAACCACAACCACAACCAACAACAACAACAACAACAAAAACAAACAAACAAACAAACAAAAACAACAACAACAACAACCAACAACCAACAACCAACAACCAACAACCAACAAGCAACAAGCAACAAGCAACAAGCAACAAGCAACAAGCAACAAGCAACAAGCAACAAGCAACAAGCAACAAGCAACAAGCAACAAGCAACAAGCAACAAACAACAAACAACAAACAACAAACGACAAACGACAAAACGACAAAACGACAAAACGACAAAACGACAAAACGACAAAACGACAAAAAACAACAACAACAACAACAACAACAACAACTACAACTACTACTACTACTACTGCTACTGCTACTGCTACTGCTACTGCTACTGCTACTGCTACTGCTACTGCTACTGCTACTCCTACTACTACTCCTACTCCTACTCCTACTACTACTACTACTACTACCACCACCACTACCACTACCACTACCACTACTACTACCACTACTACTACTACTTCTACTTCTACTTCTACTTCTACTACTACTACTACTACTACTTCTACTACTACTTCTACTCCTACTCCTACTCCTACTCCTACTCCTACTCCTACTCCTACTCCTACTCCTACTCCTACTCCTACTCCTACTACTACTGCTACTGCTACTGCTACTACTACTACTACTACTTCTACTACTACTACTACTACTACTACTACTCCTCCTGCTGCTGCTGCTACTACTACTACTACTACTAGTAGTAGTACTAGTAGAAGTACTAGTAGTAGCACTAGTAGCAGGAATACTAACAGTTGTTGTTGTTGTAGTAGCACTAGTAGTACTGGTAGTACTAGTAGTACTAGTACGAGTACTAGGATTAGTAGTAGTAGTAGTAGTTGTTGTTGTCGTCGTCGTAGTAGTAGTAGTAGAAGAAATAGTAGTAGTAGGAGGAGTAGTAGTAGTAGTATGGTAGTAGTAGTGGGAGTAGTAGTGGGAGTAGTAGTGGAATTAGTAGTGGGAATAGTAGTGGGAGTAGTAGTGGTAGTAGTAGTGAGAGTAGTAGTGGGAGTAGTAGTGGGAGTAGTAGTGGGAGGAGTAGTAGTAGTAGTAGTCGTCGTCGTCGTTGTAGTAGCAGTAGCAGTAGCAGTAGTAGTAGCCAGTAGCAGTAGCAGTAGTAGTAGCAGCAGTTTTAGTAGTAGCAGGAGTAGCAGTAGTAGTAGTAGTTGTTGTTGCTGTTGTTCTGTGTAATTAGTGTAATGTAGTGTACTTTACTGTAGCGTAATGTAGTGTAATGTAGTGTAATGTAGTGTAATGTAGCATAATGTAGTGCAATGTAGTGTAGCGTAATGTAGTGTAATGGGTCTAGTTTAGTGTAACTAGTGTAGTGTAGTTTACTTAGTGTACTTGAAAAAGAAGCTATTCTGCGAGGCTTCCTCAATTTTTGAACTTGACAACATTAGAGCACAGCAATTCTGCGAGACTTCATCATTTGTTCAGGTTGACAACATCAAAAACGAAGCAAGTCTGCGAGACATCCTCAAGTTTTCAAGTTGACAACATCAAAAAAACGAAGCAATTCTGCGAGGCTTCCTTCAAAAATGGAAAAGTTGAATGCAGAGCTGACGGCCTCGTACCAATGCGTTTGGCGATTTTTCCACTCCATCTGTCTAAAGTGCTGCGCTTGCCACGAAAAAGTGCTGCCAGGTCCTACGAAGTGCTGCACCTGTCACGCAAAATCATCTTAGCAAACCTGAAGATCTGATGCTCCAAAATGTAACCGCTCTCAGGAAATCAGCGCCCTGACCTCCTAACATCTCTGATGAACATCTCTCTTGTACTGCCCCGGCCACACGACATGCATCTTTGCAGATCTTGAAATGTCCCATGCCTGCCAACGCTATTGAAAATGCCACAAAACTCTAACGTTTTGCTCACTTTTGACAAGGTGCACAATCCCTTGCGCGTGCCCGCGAAACAACTTCGATGGTCCGAACATGTGGTGTCTTACTTTGAAATGTGCTTCGCGCCACAACGGCGTGCACTTTTTCGACACATCAACTTCCAAAAACGGCCCGACACTGATGTGTTTTTGTACATTTTGACTTAGAAATGCGCTTTGCGCCACAACGTCGTGCACTTTTTCGACATGTCAGCTTCCAAAACCGGCCCAACACTGACGTGTTTTTGTACATTTTGACTTGGAAATGTGCTTCGCGCCACAACCGCGTGCACTTTTTCGACATCTCAACTTCCAAAAGTGGTCCGACACTGGGGTGTTCCCCATTTTGACTTGAAAATGTGCTTCGCGCCACAACGGCGTGCATTTTTTCGATATGTCAACTTCCAAAAGTGGTCCGACACTGAGGTGCTTTGTACATTTTGACTTGGACATGTGCTTCGCGCCACAAGAAATTGCAAGTTTCATCTCTCATCTGGCCAGATGCCTCCGCACCCGCCGCTTCAGCGAACCTACTTTTCGACCCTCCGGAGCCACAAATCATTGGAAAAACACCGTGAATCGCGACTTTTCTACCTTTTCGCGTACCTGCATCTTCTTTCCTCTGACTCTTTCTCTTCTCTGATCTTCTTTCTTCCTCTCTTCTCTTCTCTGACTCTTCCCACCTCTGCTTTTCCATCTGTCCATATTGTCGGAAGTTGGGTGTTCAATTTTTGAACGCGCGCTGCCAGTCACATGTTCTTCGCATTCTTCAACAAGAAACAACGTTAACGCACAGACGGGTTTACACAAAAGCGTTTACACGAGAAAGTGGTTTCGAGTGTAACGACGGCTATGGCAAAACAAAGCACGGTCGCACCCTTTTCCACAAGTCACTTGAGCCAAAGTCAGGGCAACAGGTGTAATTACCTATTGACCCGCTGGCTGGAGTTATATGACATGATTACTATGTCACAGTACATGCACAAACAGTGGATTCCCTACAAACATCTTTGATGTTGTAAATACAGGTCAGTTCAAACATCATGCATACTTGGAAGGAGCCCAATGGCTTCACAACCAGGCTTGTTGGCATAACTGCTTCGATTGGTTGGTGACACGAATCCATGTATTTGGTGATACATCTGCTTGGACATAATTGGTGATATAGCATGAGTTTATTCTTCTCCCCCTTCTCGCTTTCTGCCACTGGATTGCAGAGTTCGAGCCTTATAGGAGAAACTCATGGTGGTTTTATGTGCATTAATTCGAGGGCTGCGTGCCACTTGCATGGCTCTAACGCCTTTGTGAACGGATCTGCACGTTGCAAGTCTGTTTTGATATACTGCAGTTTGACGTGTGGGTCTTCGAAAACTTCGTACAGAGATGACAGATTCAGTTTGTGGACCTTTTTCATATGTCGAAGTTTAGGGGAATATCCGCCATGTACAATTTGGATTACTGAGGCATTATCTTGTTGACAAATCAAGTCAAGTGGTCTGTCTAAGACTGTCTCAAATAGTTCTTGCATTGGCAATCCCTCTCCGAAAACACCGGAGTCTAAACTGATCATTTCAGCTTCGCATGTACTGCGTGCAGTGGCTCCTTGGCGTTTTGAACCCCGGCATAACGGCCAAAAGGAATTTGGCCCTTCGAGCGTTAAATACATTCCCGAAGTAGATTTCACATCATGGATGCCTGATGCGTGGTCTGCATCCGTGTAAAGACATAGGCGCAAGGCCTTCGCGTCGTCTGCAAGTTTACCTTCAAGGACAAAGGAAGCAGTACCCTTTAGGTATGACATTAACCGATAAAGCTTTCTGTCATCTGCTTTCGACCAAGTGGTAATCCGACGAGTCAGATCTGAAATTCCTTTCATTAAATCTGGTCTTGCTAACCTTGCACTCCATAGAATCTTCATGAGCACACGGGATGCATTTTCGGCCATTTGGCCACGATTTTCGAAATCGCTGTCTACGAGAGACCCTTCAGGGAGGTAAGGCGTTGCTGCTTTCTTGAGTGTGCAACCGCTCAGTTCTTCGTAGGCTTTACAGGCGTTTTCAGCGAAATCCGTCATGTCATATTGCATAGTGGTTCCATGTTCATCCCTGGAGATTTTGTGGTGTCTCCCCAAGATACGATCAACTGGAGTTGGCTCTTCAATTATTTCAATGTGCTTTTGAACTTTCTCCCAAAAACTTTTATGCTGATTTTCTGGGCCACTTAACACCATGTCATCAACATATAGTGTAAGTAACAAACCTGATTCCTTGATAAAGTATGTGGATTGAAATGTATCAGCGCAGTGGATTGAACCGATCTCGCGCATCATTTCTTTGAACCTTTGGTCCCAATGGTATCCAGCTTCTGGATGGCCGTAAAGGCTTTTCCACAATCGGACGCATGGTCTTTTGATTCCACGATACTTTTCTGGAACAAGTTCTATTGGCAATTCCACCCATGTGGGTACCTTGGTATTTAAGAAACTTTGAGTGTAAGCACGAACAACATCGCTTTGAGAAGAAGTGTGCCCTTTCAAGCTTCCGTATGCAA